ATGAATTATTTTTTTTTTTTTTTAATAAAACAATCGAATGATCTTTGAAAAAAATAGAGTCCCGAATTTTTTTTTTTTGATCGGGNTAGTCCCTCAAAGTGGTAGTTACATATACGTAGGTCCATGCAATTTTGATGATAAATCATAAAAAGAGAAGTTACATATTTGTGATTCGACGCAACTTTGGTAAAAACCCTAAAAAAGAGATGTCACATGAAAGTGAATTTCATTGAAAAAAAGAGGAAATATAAGTCTCAGCAGAGATTAGATATTAGAAGAATATCGTTTCCGCCACCATACATCACATTATCGGTGAATATTAACCATATGTTTATTTTTATTGGCCACAATCGGTTGCATGGAATGACACATATGTAACTTGTCATTTTTGACACCAGAACTAGTTGCATGAGATCACATTTATCAATGGTGAAAGTGCAGAAGTGCGTAACTCGGCAAAACACGATTTTCCAGGAGAGTAAAAAAAAACTAAATACATCAGGGCCGGATTAAGGGGGTGGCCACAGGGGCCGCGGCCCATGGCGGCAAAATCTAGGGGGCGGCAAATTTTGCATTCTTTTTGAATGTAGGTATCAAAAAAAGAGAGAGAAAATTCGGATTCAGAAAATAAATTACAAACGAGAAAAGGCGACAAAATCTCTCATTTACTGAGAGTGAAAGTACAGTAATTTCTAATTTTGTCGTCTTTTGGTGATTACAAGAGACAACACCTTTAATTAGTCGAGTTAAGAGAGAAACCGAACACGCAATTTGACCTGAGACGGAGCAGTGTGGCGGTCGGCATAAAACACATAGCGCCTACAAGACTGCATGAATACTTCACGCATTGCGTCAAACACACTGCGGTCAGCAGCAGTCGGCCTGAAACGCATAGCGCCTACAAGACTGCATGAATACCTCACGCATTGCGCCAAACAGTGTGGTCAGCAGCGGTCGGCGTGAAACACATAGCGCCTACAAGACTGCACGAATACTTCTCGCATTGCGCCAACACAGTGCGGTCGGGCAGCGGCGGAAGTTAAAATTATTCACCACATTTGGACCGCGTTTAACAGAAAGGAATCAAGCCACATCAGCAATTGCCAAATTTAAGTGGGCAATTTAATTTTTTACAAGCGAACGTTTTTGTAAATTCCTTTTGAAAATTTTAAGTAATTTGCTTCGTACTAGCAGAAAATCCGCTGAAATTTGCACGAAGATCCGCGCCACCGTTTTCATGTAAAAAATTGAATTGCCAAATTAAATTTGACAATAGCTGATGTGGTTTGGTTCCTTTCTGTTTAGCGCGGTCCATTTATGTTTGTTCTTTCATAATTTTTTCGTTCGTTTTTATAAATGGAAGGCCTTGTCCAAACAGGGATGGATTTACGGAACAGAACTTTTGTTAACTAGTGTTGTTTTGACGGGGCTTTCACAAAAAATGTGCCTCACGAGTAAACGCGTCTCATACACCCCTCCCCCACCGGCACGTTCACTTGATGGTTTTTATAGATCGTATTTGACAGATCACACAGGCGAGATTATATTGATATCGATTGGTTCAATATATGTAACCACAGCCTCAAAAGTCAATTTAGAAATCTGAGGTAACGGGTCTTATGTGATCGAATTTTTATTCTCTCGAGTACCAAATGGCAATGAAAAGTGAAATTGTTAGGAATTTTATCATTTTCAGCTTTTCCGAGTTAAATCCTAAAATTTTTGTTTGAGGTTAAGTTCTATTGTTTCGAACCAAACGATACATCGAACCACTGTCGAATACGATCTATTGATGTTTCAAAACGAATGAGAAGGGGGCGGAAAAATACAGGCGGCCCATGGACGCAAGTAGGTAAATCCGGCCCTGGTCTACATTCCTCTTTACTGTTAGTAGAAGGGTAATAATTCTTGAAAATACCAAGAATAAGTTGTTTTTTCAGACTCCATCAGCATTTTGAATAATTTCTCGAACTGTTAGAAAATACGGCAGAAATGCCGAGATTCGGGTTTTCCGGCACTATGAATTGAAACTTCATCAAGGGATACACATTTTTGCAATTAGTGTTTTAAACCTGTTGTTGGTGGATTCGAACCATTTAAAGACTGAAAAAGGAGTTTCATGCTTAAAATTTTTTATCAGGTAAGATTTAGTTTGATCTTATATGGCTAGATCAAGCATTGCCTGATTGGCAAATGACAGTTGATTACGAGATACGCAATTCTGCAATTATTAGCATTTTGAACCTGATCTTGATCATTAAGATTAAAAATAGAGTTTATTCATACTTAAAACTTGTCTAGAAGCTTTAGTTGATCCAATACCGTGCGTCATCAATAAGTGAATCAAAGAATTGGCTTCCTTGAGTAACTTTTACACCATAGGTAGGTAAAAAGACAGTGTGAGTCTCTAGTATATCTCGTCTCTGCATGGACCCGCAAAAAATTATATACGTAATGGTTTTTTTTTTCTATTTTTCCTCCAACACTTTGGCAAATATACCGTTAGACACCTGCAGCCATCTTTATGTGTACGTTATATATAGTGCCCGTAGAAACTCGGAGGGCATCCATGCTTCATCCTTTCTACGCTTTATGCCTTTCAAATGGACCAGTGGACAAAGTTGAATTTGGGTTATTCACAGTTCATCGACGAAAGCTCATTTTATCTGTGCGAAACTTATTGAATTCACAACCGCTTTTGAGTAATTTGCGATCTTGAAAACGGCGACTCTCAGTTTTGCATGAGAATAAGATGACCAAAGCAAGCGGACTTAAAAACCCAAAATCTGAACCAAGCGTTTGGGCTCTCTTTTTTGAAATGAGCCTCACAGACAAAAAAAATCTTATTATTTAAAAATCAAAGTTTTATTCCTCGGGCATTTTTCAAAATTACGGCTCGATTGGGGACCACAAAATTATGAACTTGGTCAACATCATTGTACAAGGCCACTCACATGGGATACAGAAATGCGCCTTCAACCCACTCCGTAATAATAATGCAAAATTCTGATACCACTATTCGTGCGTCACGACAGCCATTTTGCATACCCGGCTAATTGAAGGCAAATCATTGGCCGAGGCATCAGGGCACGAACTACGAATTTCAGCAATGTGATGCGTAATTTTCGGGAGCAAAACGGCTCGTTAATCAAACAACATCAATATACGTATTTCATAGAAATTTTTAAATCCTCATAATGAACATAAAAAAAGTCAATTTCCATTCTACACTGGATCTATGGGCGGAAATAGCAGGGGCTGAGGCCCCCCCCCCCACAATTCTGCTCGGCCCCTTCCAAAAAATGTCAATGTTCCAAGCTACTAATTAGCTTTGAGGTAAGAGGCATAGAGAATGTAATAAATATGAGCTTAATCTTAATATAATCGATCAAAGATGTCAGAAGATGAGAATTACTCGCAAAGAGGTCAGCTTCCTCCGAGTAAGGGACGTGGAAAGTAATTTGACCGGTTGTGGTTTTTCGCGCGGTGTAACGTAATACTTAATTTCACGAGAAATAAATTAAGATAAATTCACTTAAAACCCTCAGTAAGGGTATGCTATTTTTAAAAACAAGTCAGCATAATTGCTGTCATCCGTAATATTTAATTCCATTTAATTTGTCATTGAGAATGGCTTAAAATTCTTCTCCAGGCGTTCCAATTTTCAAAAACTTTCCGGGGGAGGCTCCCGCCTTTTGGACCCCCCTCTGCAGCTGATGAGTCCCCTACACCCCCCTTAGCCCAAGTTGTATAGCCTCCTGTAACCCCCTCCCCCTCCCGCACAGAAAAGTCCTAGTTCCGCCCATGACTGGATCCACACCTTAATGTTCAGAGGTAGATTGTAAATGAATTGCAGAATAACGTGTGAAGTCTTTTATTATTGAAAATAGTATTTTCGAAAGAAACAGTAACAAAGTTTAGTGTATAGTATATTCATGTGGGTACAGGAAATGATTTCAACGGATGATAAAATAGTAAATTTTCAACGTAACTTAAGAATGAAATACAATCATTATTATTTAAGGACCAGACTCAAAAAGAAACGGAACGGAACGACCAACGAAATGATTTCGAGGAGAGGTTGGTCTAAGGTTAACGGATTCGTCGTTACTGGCGGAAGTTATAAATTTAAATCATCAACATATTCATTTAAAACGTAATAAAAAAAAGTGAGACAGCTTACTTCAAAGTCTTGGAATTTTATTTCAATCCATTCTTTTTTTCACTGGCTCAAAAGAAAACGAGCGTTAAATATCCAAATCTCCGAAGATTTTAGTCAATTTAGATCGGATTTTGAGAGTATTGACAGACTTTAAGTCACCCTCCCAAAAAACATTGCCAATGATTATCTGAGGACACTGGAGACCAGTGTCGTTTGCTGCATGAGTGTAAGAAAAATGATGTCTCATCTTTGGAGGTGAACTGTCATTTGCATATGATTCATTGCTTGTAAATTGCAAGGATTTAAAAATAAGAAAGGCAGAGCATCAAAATTTTACGATTCACACATGAGTTCCACACAATGGACCACTAGACAAGGTACGAATTTCAGCATCCTCATTCATGTTTCTTCACCAAAATTTCACGTGAAGCACGACGCGCACAACGAAAATTACTGAAACCAACTCCTAACGGAGATACTAACATTTTTATTTCACATAGGCTACGAGGAGTTTGAACTGCCCGCTCACAAGAAACTCAAAGCTCTACGTGAGTCAAATCGTGCACTGCAACGGTTTCAGCAAGCTTCTCAATCGAGCAATGTTCATTTTCCACCATGCGTTGTTCAAACTATAAGCAATTTGCTGCAGCTGAGCCAAAGCGTCAAGATTGAGGTTGCCAGATTTTTATATCGCAGAGACTGTCATGATAACGTTTAGCGCGCGATGTGAGTCACGTAGAGCATTGAGTTTTCAAGATGGGAGGTTTGAATTCACGCATCAAGAATCATCAAATATCTTCGTAAGGAGTTGATTTCGGTAATTTTCGTTGTGCGCATCGTGTCTTACGTAAAATTTTGGTAGAGAAACATGTATCAGAAGGCTTAAATTCGAACCTTGTCTAGTGGTCCATTGTTACCGAGAAGACAACATTTCTGATCAAAGAAAATACAACTCCTGAATTCTAACTATTCCAGTCCGGAAGATGGTTTTCTGGCCTATCTTAAAAATTGAAGGCAAAATTGAAGGCAAAATTGTATGCTTTACCTCCATACCCCATTTGTGTTAACTCAGCTTACTTTGATATTAAATTTCCATCGGGAAACGCCACTCACTGAACTAATCACAGTTTAAGTAGGTAAATTTTCACGATTGGACACCTACTTGAGCATGAAGTTTTAGGGGAATTTGTGAAAATTTTTCTTTGAATTTTTCAGAGAATTTTATACGTAATATGAATCTATATTGCCAGAAAACTTCAAAAGAAAATATTCGTAACACTCCTCAAAAATCAACATGTTTATCAGAGGAAATGAAGCAACTTTCGAATGTTGACACGGCGTTTTTCCTTAGCACGGCAGTGTCTATCATACAAGGTCGCGGAAATTCGCCGAGCAGGTAGGTTAGCTGATTTCGAGATGATTTAAATGACATCAAGCATGTTTAGGCTAGGTTTGGATATCTTTTGCTCTTGTTTATCCATGACAGGAAGAGGGAGTAAAGCCTGGAGACGGATCGGCCGCTTGATGTGAAGCTCCGGGGAGTTGGGTCCGTTGGCGTAGGTCGTCCATGGCGACACGTATCCGCCGCTCCAAGAATGCGCCCGATTCGTATTATTCAAAGCCAGTGACATGTTTTTGAATCCGTTTGATCCCAAATTCAAGCTGTTGCTGATCAATGCATTCATTCGGTTTTGCTTATTCAGGTGGACTGAAAAAAAGTACATTATCATGAATTTGCAGGCACATGAGCAGTGAAAGTAACAACTAACGCTGGTGACAATGGGCCACTAGACAAGGTACTAATTTCAGCATTCTGATAGATGTTTCTTCATTAAAATTTTACGTAGAATACGACGCGCACAACGAAAATTACCGAAATCAACTCCTTACGAAGATATTTAATGATTCTTGATGCGTGAATTCAAACCTCCCGCCTTGAAAACTCAATGCTCTGCGTGATTCACATCGTGCGCTAAAAATTATCATGACAGTCTCTGCGATATAAAAATCTGGCAACCTCAATCTTGACGCTTTGGCTCAGCTGCAGCAAATTGCTTATAGTTTGAACAACTCATGGTGGAAAATAAACATTGCTCGATTGAGAAGCTTGCTGAAACCGTTGCAGTGCACGATTTGACTCACGTAGAGCTTTCAGTTTCTTGTCAGCGGGCAGTTCAAATTCCTCGGAACCAATGTGAAATAAAAATGTTAATATCTTCGTTTGGATTTTGTTTCATTAGTTTTCGTTGCGCAAATCGTGTTTTACGTGAAATTTTGGTTAAGAAACATGTATCAGAATGCTTAAATTCGTACCTTGTCTAGTGGTCCATTGGCTGAAAGATCTGTTTTCCGAAAGACCATAGACCCATAACTGGCTGCCTATAAGATTTCTTAGAGCTTTCTACAGCCGGCTTTACAATTTTTTACAGCCCTTCACAGCCGATGGCGAAAATGATATAGCTGACAACTGTAAGAGCTATAGCCGAGCGATAAACTATACAGCCCGGCTAGAGGAACTAGAGATCGGCTATATTATTTTCTATCGCTTTCTATCGCCTTCTGTAGCCAGCTATAAGAACCCCTATGGTATTTTGGAACGCAACTCTTGAAGCCAAGTTTTACCATGGGATAATTTGTCGCAATTACACGTCGTTTTTTTAGAGAGGAATAAAGAACAAGACCTACATTAAAATACTTATCGCTGACCAAAATATGGGACCACGTTTGTGACGTCGCAAACCGCCCGTCATACTCCGTTTTTTCTATGGAAAACTAGTCTTCTGAATTTCTTGAAAACTCTCTTTATTTTTCTCCTCGATGGGCAGGATATACTCTACAAGCACTTCAAGCTACGTAATTAACTTGTTTTCCTTCAAAAAAATAAAATAAGAGCATACATTTTGAAACACCGCAATGGACATGTGGGCTCCACACAGTAGCCATCAATATGAAAAGTACGGCAAAAAATATCCCGAAACACGACGCGAGTGTACTTTATATCATATTTCGACGGTAGAAGTCCCCAATTACCTAGCTCGTTTGCGGTGTTTTAAAATCCCCGCTCTTATTTAATTTGTTTAAAGGAGAACATATCAATATCATTCCTTAAAATTTTCACAGAGTAACCTTCGGACAGGGAAGGAAAATCTCGGAAGTTTTCAAGAATTAAAGTTGAGTAATTTTCCGTTTAAAAAATAAAGTATGACAGGAAGTTTGCGACGTCCCAACCCTAGAGATACGTGGTCTGGTAATTTTATTGACAATATGTGATTTGGGACATTCACCGACAATTTGCTTACTGGTAGCTCTTTCGTGCACAGAAGCTAATGACAAAACAATGTAGGTCGCACTTTGAAAAGCCTAAACGGTGTAAAACTAGTGTGTTCCTACTTATTATACATCCCTGCCCTAGTAAAAATTGGCGATAGGAGCTGCGTTTCAAAATACCATAGGAGTTCTTATAGCCGACTAAAGAAGGCTATCGAAAATCATCTAGCTGGCTGTAGAAAGCGGAGCAAATCATATAGTCGGGCTATACGAAGCTCTAAAAAAGTATACAGTCGGGCTATAGTTCCTATCGCCGGGCTTTACACTTTATCGCCATCGGCTATAAGAAATTGTGTAGAAATTCGTGTGCTTTGGAAATCATTAAGTTTGATGCGGAACTACCTTTACATTTACAAAACACACATTATATTTTCCTTTAAAACATATTTTTTTTCATCAATTAAAATGAGAATAGTCCATACAGAATGTGCAAACATTTCAAAATCATGAGTTGAAAAACGCTGACTTCGCGAGATTAAATATTAGAGCCTAACACAAAGCGAAGCGGCGACGCACTGGCGCCTACAAACCTAACAGGGATACTTCACGCATTGCGCAATGCGTGAAGTATCCCTGTTAAGTTTGTAGGCGCCAATGCGCGTTTCGCGCTGGCTGCTCGCCTGTCGCGCCGCAGCGTGCCACGCCACGGCCCTTAAAGCAACTGTTTCACACCGGAGGTATTGCACAGTATAATAAGAAATTGAAGGCTCTCCAACGTATTAGGAATGGCAGGCATCCATCAAAAGTACGGAGCTTTCCTCGCAAAATAAATCAAGATACTACGGCACAAAAAGAGAGCGGTAGTCCAAAAAATCACGAAGTCCTAGTATCCGTATTTAGTAACGTTTAGCATAAACTTTATCGCCTGGCTGTTGCTTAGTCGCCATCGGTTATAAAAGGCTATAAGAAATTGTACAGCCGGCTACAGAAGCTATTGGAGATCTTACAGCCGGCTTTAGGTCTATAGTATTTTGGAACACACATTCTACTGCCAATTTTCACCAGGGTGAGCTTTCTACGTAGAATTATAGTATTATGTTGGTAACGACTTAAGCCTCCTAATTTGTTGAACTTTGAAACTCAGGTATTGCAATATCCAAATTTTTTCAGCTACAAATTATTCTCGATTTTTCTATAGATTCAATCATTTACTTCATAGTTAATTATTTTTTATGAGGAAAAAACACCTATGATCGAAATTTTTCTAGGACGGTTCGCTTTTGCTTCATTTTTCCTATGTAGTAGGTCATTTTCTTTCATGAAAATCTCTGTGTTCTTACTGAATGCTTTTGTTGAGTCTTCGTGAGCTCTACTCAGTAACTCAGCGGCTCGTTTCGGTTTGAAATAATTGCCGACAAAATCCTCGTCTTCTTTTTCATTCGTATGCTAAAACAAAAAAAAAAGCAATCAATTTATTATTAGGTACTGAATTTTGAGTAACAGAAAAATGTAAAAACTTATTCCCTGAGGCATAGCCGTAATATTCGTACTGCAGTTTCATTCTGCATTGTAGATGGCTACATCTAAAATTTCATATCAAAGCGAAGTTTCATTCTACGTCAGTTCCAGCAGGTGCAGAGCCGATAAGTGCATCAAAATAAACAGCCAAATGTTTGATGTATCATCTCACGCGTAAAAAATACTACAGCCAGGATAGCGTAATTGAATTCTTAAATTTTCAATTTAACAATTTGTTAACGTTGTTTTGCAGTGTAGTACGTTGTAGGTAATGCCACTGTGTGCGTTTGTGCATAATCATTTTTAAAAGATATCTCACATCTTTTTTATGACACAACCTCTGAGTTATATGTAGGTCGAAGTGCCGTTTGATTATGCCTCTACCTGATTTTTTTTTTCCAAAAAACTGTAAGAATTGTGTGAATTATGATAATTTTGTACAGGAGGCTGTATTTTGTTTCTCATGTTAAACATAGGAGATTATGGAATCTGACCTAAGGAGGACAGGACATAGGACAGTACAGCGCAAACGTGTACTTTAGTTGGCGAATCTACAAAAACGACCGAACGCCTGGCTTGGCTGAAACTAAAACTGCTCAACAACTGTGCGTGTTGCATAGTTAAAAAATGAAGGCGCGCTGACTTTCCATTTCGTTTGCCTTATTTCGTTTCGAGTTGCGGCCCCACAAACCGTACAACTCTGAAACTGACACGGATATATGTCAGACCTTGATTTTGTGCTCATAAGCGAAGTGTGCTGGGGTACTTGAACCTTTTTAAGGTATTTTCTTGTTGATCCTAAGTTTAAATTCACGGAACTTACACGCTCTGGCGAGCTGTTGCGATCTGGAGATGAGAGCTGACTGTTGCGACTGGATTTATCACTGTCCCCACCGTTGGCACTCCATTTGTGTTGATTTGTCATCCCATCCAGAGATCGAGACTGAAAACCTGTCACTAAAAATAATGAAATCATTAACTGGACGTATTTCTATCAAACAGAACTAAGCGCCATAGGGAGAAGAAGGTAGAGGGGGCTTGGATTGGCGGCGGATCCGGCTCATTCTGCCCTATACTTGAAATGCTTTTCCATGGCGCTTAGTTCAGTTTGACGGAACGCGCTATCCGGCATTCTAAATTCTTCAAAAGGAGCTCAAACTGGTGCTTAGTTCCGTTTGACAGAAATACGTCCATTTGAAGTGAATTTTAACCAGGAGTCTAGCTTTGTGCTTTTAAAAAAAATTTTACAAATGAAAATTATTTTAGTTAGAGTACCTTTATAGACAGAGTATGGCCATTCGTATCTTTTTACTACAGGAAAACTGTTCCGCTTTTTGATTGGTCAACGAGTTTTTAGGCTTCATGATGCTCTTAGGGCCGTATACAAACAAACACGATGGCGACTCACCGTAACATCGATAAGAAGCTAAATTTGACAAAAATTTCAATTATACGGCAGTAGCAATTTAAACTAGCATATCTACGAATAACACACGAAAAAAAACAAAAATACAGGCTGGGCCTCGTAATTTGGTCCGCGGTGGTAGTGGGCAAAGTTCAAATAACTTTTTACTTTTGGGGTAGCCGAGATTTTAAAAGTGAAAGTCCTCAAATGGCATTCCTATATTTTTTTTTTAAGGTCTTTATACCCTCTAAAGGCATGATTTAGTAGTAGTCACGAATAATATGCACTAAAAATATTTTTTCATTTACCGTAGACCCCACTCCTTTTGGAAAGAGGCTACGGTAATGATGGCTACGGTAATGATAATTTATGATGAAAGTCGGTGTATAATCTAGTTGCATTGGTGGATTCCGCTGTAATTTTCAAATTGAGGTTAGGTCTTAGTATGCAATATAAATCATGCACTACTTTAATATTTCATTCATTCCTTGACAGAAAAAAGTAGGTATACGGTAATGAGAATTTCAAATTGCCAAAATTTAATTCAGCAGATAAAAACAAGAGAAATTATCTTTTAATGAAGTTCAAAATCCGGACAACCCGGCCATCGTGCACTAGACGGTAAACAAAACACTCCGAATGAATAAGTGATCACAGACTGCGTTCTAGCGGCGGAAAAGTGCCGCTAACAGGGTCTACGGTAATGATGCGAAAATTTTGTTACATTGCTTCCGGGTGGCGTAATTTTATTGCTATGCTAAACTTTGACATAAACACC